GGTATAATTTTCCACGTGGAAAATGTTGAAATAAAAGTGATTTTTAATATTCATTTGACTTTATTTTACATGAAAATTGACAATTAAAAGGAAATATTTTTTTACAATAATTCTTAAAATTTGTTTCCATTACCAACAAAAAAAAAAAGATGAAAAAAATAATAATAATCGCTACAGTATGGTGGAATTTGAATTCTCACCATATATGGTGAGAATTCAAATTCCACTAAAACAAGGAAAATTCCAAGTTCCAAGAAATTCAAGAAATGCAATTCCATGGAAAATATAAGGTATCAAACACCAAAAGTTGGAATTTCCAATTCCAATTCCATCTTTTTTTTTTTTTCCATTTCCATGCTATCAAACACTCCCTTAGTATAAATGGTACCTGTCACTACTTTGGTCATCTTCCTGAGTTTCTGGCTAAATGATGGTAAACACTCTACCTACTCTATCATATTACTTTTTCGTATTGTCAGGGCATTCTTGTATCATTTGTCCTACCTTGCCACACTTGTAGCAAACCCCACTTTTGGGCCTAACATTCTCCAGCATAAAGTTTACAACACTTGGAGCATTTTGGGATCTCTTTCCTTTTGGTATTATTAGTCGTCGTTTTTACTCTCTTGGGATATGGCCTGGTTCGTCTAATATTTCCTCTTTTATTCTTCCCAATCCGTCTTTTTGGATTCCAATTCTTATTGGTTGCAGTAGTTTTCTTACTACTTGATGCTCAGGACTGGTCAATCTTACCCTCGACTTGTTCTGCTATCAGGGCATTATTTGCTATATTTGCAAAACTAGCATTTTGTATCCCTGACATTATTACATCTCTACTCAACTCATGCCTTAATCCATCCATAAATCAATCTGGTTGTTTTGACAATATTATTTGCAAACCTCGATAAATCATCAAATTTCTTTATGTGCTCCCGGGTTGACGTATGTAACGATCCGGGTCTCTGCACCCAAGCCGTTAATTTACGTACTGTTCGCTTTGGGTGGACCTTGCGCCCACTTACCTCTCACAGCTTTCTGTCGCGTCCCCCAAAATTTGAACTCATAACATTTCTCTTAAGTAAGAGTTAAGTTAAATCCTGGTACCAATTGGGCAACTTAAGTCTTACTTAAGGGAAGGTTATGAGTTCGAATTTTGGGGGACACGACAGAAATCGGACAGTACGTAAGTTAACAATTTGGGAACAGAGACCCGGGTCGTTACAAAAACACGCGAATTGTTTTTCAAAACGACCTAAAATTTACGATAAAATAAGTATGAATCGTTACCAAAAACTTCCTTTTAATTTAATATGAGCAATTCCAAAAAAAAAAAAAAGATTTTATTTTATATCATCGTCTACAAACAAGCTATTGGTTCATGAAATAAATACAACGAGAATAAATATTGGAAATAAAATTTTATATTCACGTTACACCGGATTTATGTGTTTAAAATAATCTTGGCACCACGACCGCAACTCATCATTGGCCAACCAACGACCCGTTTAATCTTGCAAGAGTAGGGAAAAGGGTGAGTATATAAGAATACTCAGTAGGATACGAGCAATTGTGCAATCCCGATTAAATGTATTAAATCACGCGTCAAAAATATCATATCGTCATATCATATCTTTAGAACCGGTAAGAGCTCATATCATATCATATATTTGGTACCGGATGGCCACTTCATATCATATCATATCATAAGCATAATATTTATCAACGTGAAGAAATAATTAAAGCGGGATAAACCACTTGCACCTCATAATCCTACCTCGTGAGATAAAAGAATTGTTGGAAGAAAAACAATTATTTCACGTTCCCATGTTGCTGTGTTTACATGCGGTCCCGTCAGATAAACAATCATTCATCTATTATTCCCAACTTGGGGTCCTTTATACATGAGGTGTACTATGATCATTGATCATTCCCACGTATAACATCTAAAATCCTTTTTCCACGGACACACATTTCTATATAACGGCCTAAATTTACTCATTGTTTCTATTTTATAAATTTACACGTGTTTGTCAACAAATAAATTTCAAAAGCCAACTCAGTTAATTATGGAGTCGTTTGGTACCCTTTTTTTTTAAAATACAAATTTCTCTCTCTTCTTTTCAATCACACATTTTTTATTAAAATAATATTACACGTAAATCAAAAACATTTTCTTATTTTTCAACCACATATTTCCCATCAATTTACTATTCAAAAATATATTTTTACATCAAAATGGCTCCCAAACACCCCCTATATTTATAATAAAAGAGATTGGCATGCCAGCAATTCATTTGAATATTCAATCAAGGCAAATCCGGGTAATTCAAAAATCACTTCTTTTTCTAAGAAACACGTGGCATGCTATTTCATATAAAAATTGATTTTTTTACTGTTATTTTACTATTCAAGCCGTAATTTTTGACTTCTTCTCTCACATGTGGATCCCACTTTTCTTCTAACGGTCAAAAAATCAATTCTCAAAATCCCTACCAAACGGGGCCTTAAGTCACAATAATTTCATACACGTGTCGGCACTCTAATTCAATTGAAAAATAAAAATAATAGTTTTCATCAACTTCTTCCAACTAAAATTTCTTGATATTGACTTATCCAAATCGACTTTTTCTCGAGTCTAATATACATAATTAATTGAGCTATCCAATGAGTCCAATATCGATATGCTTATACTTGCTTTATTAAAATATAATTATTTGACCTAAATAAAATATGAATTTAAAACCTAATTCATTTTAGTCCTCTTTTTCTTTTTCTTTTTTTAAATATAAAGATACATTTTTTATTCTAATTTTTTGGGGCGTTACAATCTCATCTCCTTAAAATATTTTCGTCCTCGAAAATTATCTTGAATAATCGAAATGTTCTAGACAAAAAAAAATAAAAATCAAAACGTACATATTGTTGAACTTACACTTAGGCAATAGAAGATTTAAAGTTACACAAATTATTTGAATGTTCATTTATTTTCTTACCCACGTTACATACGTTAGGGTCGTCGGAGGCCGGTCGGCAATTGGTTATCGAGTGCCAAGGATCTTTCAAATGCTTATATACTTTAGAACTTAAAAAAAAATTAAAAATATTTAAATTTATCTCTTAAGAAAATTATAACAAACATTACGCAAAGCTAGGCTAAACATATAGCAATTATTACAAGTAACATTCAAACATAAAAGTTCGATATTAACATCATGAAATCAATTTAAACTATTATTTAAATATATAGGAAAATTATTAATATCTAACATTTAATAAAGAAACGCATCTTTAAAATTATATCTTAAGAAAATTATTAATAATTAGCACGTAAAGTTAAGGTTAGCTATATACACTTAACAATTTAAATTAATCAAATTCTCATATATATAGAAATTATTTGAAATAATCATTTAAAAAAATAAACAACTGTTTAAGAAATAATTTTTTTTTATTTTCCACTATTGACGGGTGAACAGTGACCCGTCACTGTTCATCCAACAATTTTTTTTTATATATATAAAAAATACATTATATAATGCACATGGACCCATGCCACATCATGATAATTTTTATTTTTATTTTTATTTTTATTTTTTGTCATTATTTCTTTGCAGAGGTGAAATAGGAAAATAATACATATACCATAAATTGGCACATCCTCATTCAATCAACTAATGCAGTATGCAGCTACCCACATTTCACCATTTTTCAAATGTGTAGACCCCACTGACAGGAAAATGAGAATGCATTTTAGAACACAAATAAAAAAGGTTTTAATTTTAATTTTTTTAAATCTTAACAGTGACAAGCTTCACGTCCCTATTTTTTTTTTCATCTTCTGATTTATATTTTTTTTATTTTCAATAAAAAAGGTCTACAAGAAGGTAGAACCATGCTCTGATAGCATTCTAAAACGACCTAAAATTTACAATAAAATAAGTATGAATCGTTACCAAAAACTTCCTTTTAATTTAATATGAGCAATTCCAAAATATATATATAAGCTATTGGTTCATGAAATAAATACAACTAGAATAAATATTGGAAATAAAATTTTATATTCACGTTACACCGGATCTATGTGTTTAAAATAATCTTGGCACCACGACCGCAACTCATCATCGGCCAACCAACGACCCGTTTAATCCTGTAAGAATAGGGAAAAGGGTGAGTATATGAGAACACTCGGTAGGATACGAGCAATTGTGCAATCCTGATTAAATCACGCGTCAAAAAATCATATCATACCGTCATATCATATTTTTATGTATTATATCACACGTCAAAAAATCATAACGTCATATCATATTTTTAGACTGGTAAGAGCTCATTTCATATCATAGCTTTGGTACCGGATGATCACTTCATATCATATTATAATCATATCATATCATAAGCATAATATTTATCAACGTGAAGAAATAATTAAAGCGGGACAAACCACTTGCACCTCGTAATTTTACCTCGTGAGATAAAAGAATTGTTGGAAGAAAAGCAATTATTTCACGTTCCCATGTTGCTGTGTTTACATGTAGTCCCCCGATAAAAACAATCATTCATCTATGATTCCCAACTTGGGATCCTTTATATATATCGTGTACTATGATCATTGATCATTCCCGCGTATATCATCTAAAATCCTTTTTCCATGGACACGCATTTCTATATAACGACCTAAATTTATTCATTATTTCTAGTTTTATAAATTTACATGTGGTTGTCAACAAATAATTTTCAAAAGCCAACTCAGTTAATTATATTTATAATAAAAGAGATTGGCATGCCAGCAATTCATTTGAATATTCAATCAAGTCAAATTACCAAATTTTTTTTTATTAAATCAAGGCCAGTTGACACAAAGGCATTGCCTCGTACTATGCCAAGATAATTGGCCAATCCGGGTATTTCAAAAATGATCCCGCTACATGTACAGCACTGTACACAACTTGACGTGGAAAATGAGAAAAAAAAATGAAAACAGTGTTTTAAATACTCGGCTGAATGTCTCAATTATTCCCATTTCCTTCCTTCATTCATTTCATCCCCAAATCAATTCGTCTCTCCTCTCTCCTCTCTCATCAACGATCTCTTCTCCTCTTTCATTTACGACTTGTTCCCCAAATTGAATCCCTCTCCCACCCACGAAGAGTAACATACAGAGCCAACCAGAAATCCAGATGACATCCATTGACGAAGAATAAGGTAGAGCCAACCGTAAATCGAGGCGACAACCTGAAAAATCCACACATCCGATCGCGGGCAAAACGGTAAGAGTAGTAGTGATTTGATGCTTGTGTAATCATTTTCCAATGGGTCGGTGTATATTTCCCCATTTGTTGTTCGATGTAAACTAGATGTCCGATTTATCTACGAGTCGAATCGGAGAGGAGAAAATGTAGAGGTTTGGAATCAGAGGGGGAATATGCAGAAGCATTTTCGTTGTTATTATTTGGGTGGTTTTATTTAATTTTTTAAATTTTATTTGGCAATTCATGTTTGTATAGGGATTAAACATTTCCTGTGCTTGAGATAATGTTTTTGACTTTTGGCTCTACTTCATTTTGGGGAAGTAGAAATTAGGTTTTTGTATACTTTTGGCTCTACTTAATTTGGACAGGAGCAGAATTAATAAAGATTTTGTTTTCGTTATGATTTGTTGTTGCGGAAAAGAAGAAAATGGGAGTAGAAAAGTTCTTCAATTTTAGTTTCTGCTCCTGTCAATTGAATATGAACCAAAGACAATTAAAATGAAATGGTTTTACATTTCGAAAGTAAGGAGAAAATGAAAAACAATTCAGTTTCATGGTTTTTTGCTTCTGTCATTTGGTTTTACATATTGTGAAGACAATTTCAGTTTCATAGTTTTATGCTTTAAGGAATTCTTAGTAAACTTATTATGCTTTACGTAGATTGCTAAAGATACTAATATTACACGTTGGTGTGGTTGTTTGATGTGGTTGAATTAGAGAAATTCGATGGCAGGCAAGAATAGGGAAATATGTCATTGTTGTCAACAGAGGGGACATACACTGTTGGAATGCCCGACAAAGAGAAGATGCCCAAATTGTGGTGACGGGTTCGTTAAGTAAATGGAGGTCGAAAAGAATAATGACCATAAAGGATTGTTGTTTCATTGTTGTACCCATGATTGTAGGTACTTCAAGTGGTGCAACAAATTCCCCGACGAAAAGTGTCCGTTGCATGACGATGGTGAATTAAGTTGCATCACAACTACAAGTGAGGAAGCGGATACTTAGTCGCATATGTTGAAAACACTCGCTAAGCTAAGCGAGGAGAAAGACCTAGAGATTTTCCTCCAAATAAACATGCGCAAAGGAAAACAAGTTTCAGAAAATAGGTTTGTATGTAGAGATTGTTTGGGACTAAAAAGTGAAAGTCTCTTAACTGTTTGTAATGATGCATGTATAAATGGTAAGCAACTATGTTATTGTGGTGCCTGTTTTTTTTGCTAGCCGTCCACCTTGAATTATCTTGAAGTTTTTACGATTTTTACTATTCAACTTTCGTTAACGGGTCGTTCTTTAATTGAAAAATTAATCACCGGTACGAAGAAGGCGTTAAGCCACCAACACAATAAAACAAGGTGAACATATTACTCCAAAAAATCGTTCACTTCATGCCGGACGTAGAACAGCTTGAGAACCTTGACAAAACTAAGCATTGGTCTCCTTTAATCGGAAGTGCAGTGATCTAAAAAACATTGAACTAAGAAACTGTTGTGCGTGTTCCCAAGTTTTTGGTGTACAAAAACTAATTTTGGAAAGCATCTAGATGCATTTGGAGAAAACCTATATAAGTACACACATACCATACCAAGAAAACAAATGTAAACACTAAATATAGTAATAAACGACAATTCATTTTCCTGTATAAATAACAGAATGGCTGCATTCATCTCCAACTCAAAATTACATCAATATATGTACACAACACACGCAGATATTATACTAATACACGACAAAGGATAGTTGGGCAAAATACATGATTTCGGATTACAACGTACTACAATGATACAAATTCAATATGTTTAGTAACCCTCATCAGGTAACTCCGCCTTTGGTGTCATGACTTCCAATTTCAGTATCTCTACCTCTTCAAAGAGGCCGTCCATGAGGCCGTATTGATTCGAGTAGGTGGCAGTCATAAAAGCGTAGAGGTGTAGATGCATCCACCTCCATCTCTTAAGACAAATCATTTCAGCCACTGGTAGTAGACATTCCTTTTCAATCTATCCTATAACAAAAAATTGTATCCAGTTTCATAAAGCAGAAGCAGATTAATCTATCAAAACATTATTCACTTGTTCTCTATAATTCTGTCTATTACTTTCCTCCTGTTGACTAACAAAGCTCAAATAATTATAATAATGAAACATATAAAAGCTCCAAAGGATTCAATCATTCACAAGGTATTCAAACAAAATTAATAATGCCGGACTTAGCTCAACTCCCATCACCTTTCAAGTATCCTAAAGTAAATGTGTCCTCTACGTTAAAACATTTAGAGAAAGTCATCGAGTTTCATGTCTCACCTCAAAAGATGAGACAAAAGTAGATATTAGCTGGAAAAACTTCATGAGGTAGAATCGAACACCCTATGGAGGTGCATCCCATGGATTGGGCGTCACTACATACAACATTCTAGAGCTTGGCATGTCAACAACACCTGAAGGGCCTCCATCAACACTAGCCTGAGGAAGGGAATATGTGGCACTCGACATCCAACCCGCCATAGCACTTGGAGGCGACAGCTGGAATAGGTAATTAATAATGCTACCGAAAGTTAGTTGGACAAGAAACATAAAGTATACAGTTATATGGTAAAAAGATTGCGTAGCTTACAGTGTAAAATCCTTGCGGGAAAATACCGGTTGAGGACAGTCTCAGTAAATTGTCAACGACCCCCATGTGTGGAAAATCGAGATGGTTGTGGGGCTGCATATTGCCTGAAATAAACATGAAAAGTGCAAGATATTAATGTCTAAGTTTGCTAAAATAATTTCTTTTATTAATAAAAAATACTTTTAAATAAGTAATTTTAGGTAAAACCAAACACTGAAATCAATTTTAAGAATAAGAATTTATGACATGATTATTGAGGTGTCTTTTAATGATAATAGAAAGATCAGCTTGCAGCATGTGTGTGGCACTAATTACAGAAGAGATGGCTCCAAATTTTCTCATCAATGTAGCAAATGATTGAAAGGGAATAAATTATCAATCGAAGAAGAGTTTGTCTTTTTATCATCTTCTTTATCAATCTAATAGTAACTTGTAAGCATGTTACTTGATAAAAAAAGTCATATGGTATTGAAGATGTAAAGATAAAAGTCCAACATAAGAGAGCCAAAAATTAGAATTATAGATGTCAAAAAGGCGAGACAAACAGCATCCCCGTTTTCATTTATCATTCTCATTTACTTACTTACTTATTTAATATTATTTTTATTTTTTAAAAATCAATTTGATAGGAAAAAAATATTAGAGCTTGAAACAAGTTTAATTGGAGAGTTTCTCCAATAATTGCTAATATGAAAGGAACCTAGCATCCCTCTTTTTATCAAGGACGAAAGATGTCAAAAAAGTTAGAAGACACAACAGCTTTTATCAAAGCAAAATTTTGAAAAAATATGTCTAAGTGTGCAAGATACATTCGAAACCATATAATTACCTTGCGAAATAGGACTGCGTTTGTGCATATATAATCAGGATACATTGCAACTATTCATAAGTCGTATCCATGAAAAAAAATCTGTCAAAAATAACGTAACATTTGCATGTATTGCCCACATGACTGCAGTTTTCTCCAATTTAATTCTCTGTCCCATATCTTTAGGGGCAGACGGCCCCACTGCATGGCCTATGCCGAACCTTACTTGGGGCGTCCAACCCATTTTAATCCCCATAAATTGCAGGCATTGATGGGATTCTGGTTTAAGTGCACGGAAATAAGGAAGATCATGTTGTGCTCAAATTGTGTGTCAAATATAAATTTTCGAAAGCCTTGTTGGGACCTTGAAAAACATATAGCAACACCTAGAAAAATGCATCTTGCATTCCGAAGCAAAGGTATTAATCTCAAATTATGATATGCTAAAACGCAACAAAAGATATTGTTGCCACTACAATAAAAGATACATTCGAAACCATATAATTACCTTGTCAAATAGGTAAAGTATTTGAACTCGACATGGAACTGAAATGCGAAGACGGCAATTGGTATGGTAGTGCGTTACTTTCCCCTTCGCCTTGCATGACATGAACAAACGAATAGGAATCATGCCTATAATATGGTAAATATTTTGAACGAACTTTGCAACTGTAACCTGTGAATACGAGAATGGAAGTGGCTTCGACTACTGTGCTTGCGACGGGCGTGGAATGGATTGTGCACTGGAATGAACATTGCTCTTTGTCCCTTGCGATCTCGCCTACAAAATGAGAAAATAATGTGCAAAGTTAAAATTAGTACTTATAACAAGGAGACGCGAATGAGAAAATAGGGTGCAATTAAATTTACCCTTGCGTTCTTGGAGTCGGACTCCAATGCGCCTTTAACACGTAATTTTTTGGGCGCACCTTTCCTTTTCGAACATTTAGGATCTTGTATGGCCCTGCTGCTCGTATCTTGCAATGCTCTCGATTGTAACCCTGAATGAAGACTAGGCTGGGAAATGCTGTTACTTTCGCAACTGGACTTTGTGGATTCTATGCCTTTAGATTGCGTTTGAATCCACTCTATTATTGCACCAGTTCTATCTTCATCATTTGCGGTAATATTGGCCAATGTAGCGAACAATTCACACATTCTACCATATCTCAACTGGCTAGGAGTGTTAAGCAGACCACCGTAGTTCACAGCGACCCTCGTATGGGCTCTACTGATGTCTTTTCTCCATCTCCTCAATATGTACCTATCTGATAATAATGTGACGCCGTTACGCATCAACATCAATATGGCATGTCTGCACAAAATTCCATGGAACTCAAATAGGTGACAATTGCAAACAACATCGTACCCCTCTGCACAAAATGTGACAAAAAACTTTGTCTTCCTCACCGTTTCTCTAGTAATGACATCCTCCTCAACCTCATACATCCTCTCCGTAAGGTTATCAATTGCAAATACGACATCGCAATAAACCTTCCCAGTTATCTCATCCTGAAATTCCCTGAACTTTGAGATCGTATAAACTGCTTGAAATTATTTTTCCATTTCATACTTTGTTGCACAAGGCACCATTTGCGAAAAAGATTTAAAACATGCTTGGAATTCCTTTTAAACTTTACTTCTTAATGCCCGTTCATATTGCTTAACGAATTGCTTTAAGGATGTCTTCGAATGCACATACCCGTCAAAAAACGTATTCATGCTTTCACTGCGTTGCGTTGTTGACATCCCTGCCCAGAAAGTCGTTTTCAAATAGCATGGCACCTAACGAGCCCTATTTTCGTACAACCTCGATAACCATTCGTTGTCACGTAAGTTATATGTATTGAGCATATTTCCCCAACCTACTTCAAATTCATCCGCACGCTGCATATCATACACTAATCCGTGTATGGACGAAAATATTCCACCTTTGTCAACGTGGTACCCAAACTTCTCAGGTAACTTTTTCATGATATGCCATAAACACCATTTATGCCTTGTATTTGGAAAGACAATCATTTTGCATAGCCTTATTTTGATCCGTAATAATTCCATTAGGAGGTTTGCCATGCATGCATTGCAACCATGTCCTGAACAGCCACACAAATGTATCAGTATCTTCATTTGATAGCAAACCATATCCGAGAAGTGTTGACTGTCCAGGATGATTTACTCTGACAAAGGGAGCAAAAGACATTATTAGTCAGATATGTCGTATCGAAGGTCACTACATCACCAAACTTCTTATACGCTAGCCTACATCTATTATCTGTTCAAAACACATTCTTCAGTCGTGACTCTTCGTCCATGTCGATACAAAAGTAAAATCTCGAGCACCGTGCTTGCATTTGTGAAAAGTATGACTGTATTGCCGAGGCATCTCCTATACCTAGTCTCAAACGCCTCACTTGTTCAACATAATTTCGACAGTCTTTTTCCACGCAAGTCATATTCTCATAGCCACCCCCTTCGATAACTGCAAAGTTGAAACTTTTGTGTAAAGGAATTCCAGCCATGTCATTCACTTCAAGCTTACGTTCAACATTTGCACTCAACTCTCAATTGCATCGATACAATCTCAACTTTGAGGGACTTGTTTTATGATTGTGTTCGAGACACACTGTGCAAATTTTTTACACTCCACGGATATCCGAAGAAGTAGTAAGCCTTGCTTTACAACCTGTCTGAATTGTTGGTTGTGGTTTCAAAGAACTGCTTGTATTACTACTTCTATGGCCCTTACGACAACACGTCAAGGTAATGTATCTCACTATTCCATCATTCCCCCTCCTCGAATTCCTTTTCCTAACCGGAAACCCTACATTATACATATTTCTTGTAAAATTCATACACCTAGTTTTCATCTTTAAACTTCATACCCACCTTCGGTAAAATTGTACCGTCTTCTCCTACCTCCGGCACAATTGTATCGTCTCCTCCCACCTCCAGCACAGCCGTACCATCTTCTCCTAGTACATCATCTTCCAATGTGACTACATTTTCGGTATTACCCCTATCACTGGATTGTACAAGAAGTTCGTTATTCGATACTTGAACTGGTTCTTCTCCTGCAATGCAATAAACCAGAACATCATCAGCTCTAGAATCAAATTAACATGTTAACGAATTTTCAATTCGACAAATATCTTCTAATAGTTAACAACCATATTTTTTTACAAACTGCAATTCCAATATGCACAACATCGTAGACAGAAATCTATGCAAATAGTTAGGTCTAGAAATGCGAAAAAGCTTCGAACCGAAACCCAATAAACAACAAAATTTCAATAATCAAATTTTGAAGTGAGAACAATACGATATTGTAAAATTCACATCTAATAGCAAATCATGACAAGCAAAATACACATGTAATAGCAGAATAAAGCCATCAATTTCCTCCTGAGTCATAAATGAGGAGAGATTTCATATCACATTTTCAACATATTGATTGTAAATCAGTCGAGCAACCAAAGAATGCGTTTAAAACACCCACCACAGATGCATCTTACCTTGCTCCATCACTCCTTTGAACATTTAACCACGAAATAGGTCCATACGTACTACAATCTACCGTCGCGATCGTTACCATCCAGCTCATTCAGAAGCCGATTGCGGGGACAACGCCGTCGCCTAAGTTGGGACGTTACAGTGGGGCTTTGCCGTTGCTTGGGTGGATTTGTTGGCGTCAATTGAGGGTTGGGAGCGTTTTCAACGCGAACTAAGGGTTGGGTGCTCTTTGGGCATGAATTTAGACCTGAGAGCATTCTGGATTAATATCTTATGGGCCGGCATAAGAATATTTTGTTTAAACCTGACCCGGTACATTTGGTTTCCATTTTTTCCCGCCAATGGTAGGCCACATCAACAATTTCGAATTGCTGTGCACAGCAAGTGTACAAGAGGCGTTTTCCATTCAAAAATCACTTCTTTTTCTAGAAAACACGTGGCATGCTATTTCATATAAATCTCCAAAATCAAAGCAATTAAATAATGTGAGGAATACCTGCCTTCTCCACCATTTATACACGTGCCTACCAAACACACAATTTAAAAGTCACAATAATTCCATACACGTGTCGGCACTCTAATTCAATTGAATAATAAAATTAATAGTTTTCAACAACTTCTTCCAACTGAATTTTTTTGATGTTGACTTATCTAAATCGACTTTTTCTCGAGTCTAATATGCACGATTAATTACGAGCTATCAAATGAGTCCAATATCGATATGCTTATACTTGCTTTATCAAAATATAATTATTTGACCCAAATAAAATATGAATTTAAAACCTAATTCATTTTAGTCCTCTTTTTCTTTTTTCCTTTTTAAATATAAAAATACAGCATATTATTTAAATACATTTTTTATTCTAATTTTTCGGGACGTTACGACGTAGATCATTTAACTTTTGATTCCAGGTTGTCTTTTTAAAATATTTACTCCTGAATAGGTAACCTCACAAAATCAATCGAAAGTCATATTAGCAGTTTAGCCGATCGCTAATACTGAACTTCCCAATGTCCAACACTTTTATCAACATAAATATTGCACGTGTCACTTTTTCTCCATCCAGCATGTGTGCATAGTAAATATCTTTTTCCATTGTTTCGGCCAATTTCTGCCTCTAACAAATCCTTTTTATCTGTAAAGTTGGAGAGTTGACCATCTAGATCAATCATTTCCAATGTCTCTGTCTAGATGGGGTTAGGCTTGTTTCATCATTCGTTCCATTTGACGTGAGTGTTGCTCTACCAAACGTGTCAATCGATCAGTTGTTGGATTAGCACACGTCATTTTCTGTAAATAAAAATGTTTTTGAATCTTTAGTGAAATCTTTTGAAAATTCAATTAGTGTTTGCGTCATAGCATTTATTTTCAGTAAAAATAAAATAAAATCAATACTAGTAGTATTAATGCTATATATTTGGTTTAAAAATTTATAGCATTGGTACACTCATCGAAGCAATTGTAGATATTAAAGGTTCAATTTAAAATTCAAACTTTTTCAAAATTGCATTTAAGTCCAACCAACCATGATGAAAAGGTCCTTTATTCTCAATTATTCATACCAACTTTCACTCACTCACTCGTTTCCTCAAGTACAACCATGTTAAAAACCAAGATATCGGCCAACTGGGGCATATTCAACAAATCCACTCTTAAAGAAATTGGTGAAGGGTCGGATTCTAACGAAGAACACCATTCGGGGGCTGAGGCATTCTACAATAGCACTATCAAAATCAATTCAGCTCTTTTCGCAAGGAGGTGTTAACAATTTCATGGAGCTTCCTCTACAAAATGATCGAATTTCCATGCAGCAAGCTCGTTAGGCGGAGGCATTCGAGGCACTAAAGGAATCTAACAAATACTAGCTCTATGCCATTTCGATCCTATGTCAAGTGTTGTTGTACTCTCTATCATGTCTTGTATTTTCTTTCTTTCCAATTTGCTCATATACTAGTCCTTTCTTTATGCAGTAACTAAGTTCTTGTCTGTTCGACCATGTACTACTCCACTATGTTATGCAATTAAAAATCTGTTTTCATAACTAGCAAATTATTACTGCAAAACATCTCAAATATCAGACATATAAAACTCAGACATAACATAGGCAAGTCATAACATTGAAATCAACTTGCCAAAATTTGAAATTGGAGGTGTACTTGAGAGAGGAAATGTCGTCTGATGTTGAAGGAATTGTGTGTCAGTATGCAGAACTGCTTTAGAAAACAATTGTTCTAAGAAAAAAGCCTCCCTGCACGAAAAATGAATGACAGAGACTTTGATAGCATTTCACAAGCCAACAACGCCCACATGAATCAACAATTCCAAAAAAAGTGGCCCCCACTGTTATTGTGAGTGTCGATCAGAGCTTCTGTCAATTTTTTTGGGTCAATGTAGTGCAGTTATTGTTTTGATACCACATGTTGCTGTGGCATACCAATAGTATGTTTTATGAGTAAAAAACTAAACACGGTGACCTTGACGACATCAACACTTTATCTTGACAAAATGCACCAAACTCTTTTATAAGATATCCTATATATATAAAAGAGTGAAATACTCCAGGACACGTGTCGAATAAATGTGTCCCCTTTACCAATATATTTTTTTATCTACAACCAATACCCATACCCATTCCTCATGTTTCTCCATTCTTACACTCAACAAACCACTCCGTCATTTCCCGCAAAGCCTAAAGCTCTTCTTTTCTTTTTTTTTTTTTTTTGTATTTCTCTCCGTGGCTTGCGCTTGTAATTTTGCTAGAAAATCATTTCGATCTCTGCACATATTCTTCTTCTTTTTTCCTTTTTTTAGCGTGATTTGAATATACGAAGTGGGTGTTGTTTTTTTTATTCCCTCCTTCTTTGGTATATAATTAGTTGTTTGACGAAATGGGTAGATCTAAATTTTTGGATTCTAATACTCTGCAAGTGTACGAGTATGTATGTCAACAATTTTAGCTATAGGTATAGCATTTAAACTTTTATTTTTTATTAATCATTATTTTGGCATCAGTGTTCCTAAATTTTTTAATTTAGTGTAAATAACTACTCTTACACTATCATTAACATTTTTTTTTTTTTGGCTGTGAATCCATTTAATTAAGCTGTAATTATTTTTTTCTTTAATTGGTGTTGACATATGTGTTGGTAGTACTGTCATCAGTTAATTCCCACCTCATTTTAAATTTTAAAATCCTTTTTTTTTTTTTGGTATATTTCACTTTGATTTGTGTTTTAGGATGGTGGAATTGTTTTTTGACAAAATGAAAACCTGACGGAGAATAAAAATATTTTTTTAACAAAAAGCCAAAAAAAATAAATAAATAAGAAAAACATTTTTTTAGGCCAAAAAAATTGAAACCGGGAGCAAAAGCTCCGTCCGTGGAGCTTTTTTGCTCTGAGCTTAAAGCACGCACGGAGCTCTGGCAGATCTCCATGCTGCAAAGCTTTGTGCAGTGCATGGAGCAACCAATTTTTTATTTTTTTATGTTAATTATATATGATGCGAAATTTTATTTTATTATTTTAGATTATATATACTCCGTCAAGTAGAATTGTGGATTTGAAATTAAGTAGGATGTGGATGTTTTCACAATCTTCTTGACGGGGTGAATTTTTTTTTTTTTAAATAAATGTAACTAAACAGCAAAAAAAAAAAAGTGGAAGCAGTGTCTACTGCACGGAGCGTGCACTGCTCCGTGCAGTGCGGAGAAATCTCCGTGCACCACGGTGACACTCCATGCTGTGCGGAGAAATCTCCGCTTTCTCTGTGCTGTGCCAATTTGGGATATTGGATTTCATCCATATGACATAATTCAAAACGACATTTCCTCCATTTAAAAAATAAATGGACCTCCCGCTACTACTTCGTGTCACCTCTCTCTCTGTCGATAGTTCTGCTATTAAACCCCCAAACTCTATCAGGTACGTACGTTACTTGATTCATTTTTGTATCTATACAATTGTTATTTTGTGTATATATAGATTTTCATTTATTTTATATATAATTGACGATGCCGCAATTGTTGATCCGTAGTCAACCCTTTCACGATTGTCAATAAGATCTGGATCTGCAGCTTCTGCCTCCAGCATAACTACTTCCCCCTGCATTACCAATCGGTATTAGGCACCAGAATTTGCTTGGGGAGCTCTGCCCGCAGAACACCACGATTGAGTATGAGACAACGGCTATGAATGAGAAGCCGCAACTTGGGAGTAGTAACGTTTTCTTGTTTGTATTGGATACTTGTGTTATTGAGGAGGAACTCGGTTTCTTAAAATCTGCTTGGTTACAGGTGCAGCTAAATTTTTAATTTTCTATTACTGGACTTTAAGGAGTAATATATTTCATTAATTGATGTTATAACATTTTCAAGAATTTCAATATTTCTACGTGTTAATTTCTGGTATTTATGTATATTACATATTTATTAAAGATAATTATATAGGATGGATAGATTACAATATTCTTTAAATGGAATTAATATCCCAAGGGTCTTGAGGATTGTTTTGGTGTTTCAAGAACTTGAAATGATATTTTAGTAAAAATTTTTAATAACATCTTCTAAAAGGAAGTTATTTATGCTCATATGTTCCACATATGCTCAATTTCCTATCCTACGTCCTACATATATAAAAGAGTGAAAGATCTCCTGGACACGTGTCATAATTTCCTATCGTCCTCCACTATTTTTTTTTTTGTTTTCATTACTTCACGCAATCAGGTTTGACATCATCCACTCCACGATCCCATATCTTCAACATCTGACCCAAAAGCTCATCAGCACACACGACCATACCTCCAATTCTGTCAAAATTGCAGCGCCCATGATGGACACATATTATCAGGAAACGTTTTAAATCAAATCTCTCTAATTATTTGTGCTTTCATGCAATCTTTTGTTTTCTATTCTATGAATTCTGCAAATCTGAACTAGATGAAATAAGGAAGTGTTGTTTATCAAACTTGGGATTGGCTGCCGTTGGAGGTGCCTTTACCAAACTTAAGAGTTTCAAGTTGACTTGGTGCTGTAATGTAATAGAAGTTGGGCTAATATCTATTGCTGAGAAATGTAAATTGTTGAAGTTCTGGATTTACAGGTGATTGCCCATTATTTTTACTTGCATTCTACCATTTGATTATCAATTTTCATTCCATTTTGAGTACTCTGATCCCAATTCATTGCGGGGGGAGTACTCTCTGTTGGAATTGGTTCAAAAATTAACCGAAAATTGGTTAAGTGTAAAACTGGGAAAATGAAAAGGTGTGACTTCGTGTCAACTTCGGTCAAATGTTCGAA